CTTTTCTTAAGAATTAAATAATCGCAGGTATATACATGACAAAGAAAATAAGAATTTTTTAATTATAAAAAGTTATTCGGTACGTGAAAGTAGATTTTTGCGATAGACTGACAATCGATAGCAATCGAATTAAAGATATCTGTCAAGATTCTAAGTCTAAGAAAATACTTGTTTTACATTTTTTTGCAATTTCTTTTCTTCTTTTTTTTTTTATTACATGTTGAAAATCTCTTATTATGCTGGATTCCAGTTACGAAAATATGTCACCCGATATACTAATTGCGCAATAAAATAAGAAAATATTAGTAATATCTTCATTTCTATACAAGAAATATTGGCATAACAAGATAATTTAAATTAATATTATAATGAACGCGCAATGTATGTACAAGTTAAACATAAAAAGATACATACTTCTATAAGCATGAAATTAGATACGAAGATACATATGCCATCGGATTCATTATGAACCTAATTATACAATCGTTTTGCATACAGCCATTAAACTAAGAGGACCAGACACGCAATCTGTCATCACGACGCTCATATTACTAGTAATTGCAACAGTCGCACATTGCATAAGTTCCAATTACGATGCAAAAAGCATTTAAGCAATGAAATAGGAGCATCGCGATCGTAAAGAAAAAATATGAGCCGGTTTTCGCGAAAAAGTGAACTTTGGACGAAAGAAATGTATTTCTTGCTCAACATTCTTGTTTAATGGAAAAAGCATTTTTACAATCCATATACATTTGGCGATAAAAGTCATAGCTAATGGTCAGCATAATTAGCATAGCCGCTGGCATTCTGTAAATCGTTCAACTCGTACGTGTGCTTGCAATAGAGACGGTAACATTCCATCAGCGTTTAAGACCTTTACTATGAAATCATCAGATTCTTTTATTATTAATAAAAAACTACGCTATACAAATAGATAACATGAAACAGTTAAGTTAATCCGTATTAGTTGTTATTGATTTTTTTTCACACCTATGTTTATGTATCATTAATATATTATACAATACATTAATAATATTCATTATATTTATTAATTTAAAGTAAAAGAATTAGCAGCATTTTGTTATTTAACATATGAAAAATATAAATAATAACAATAGAAAAGTCTTGTTTTGTAGCTGGTTTTAAATAAATTGTTATCGCGTTCACTATGATACGAGGAACGATGTGAGAATGTAGATGTGTCATTCCTATTTGGAAAGCAAAGTATGTCTCTTCGAGGACGCATGTTTGCATCGTGCTATAATCTGACGCACGCTCGCGTACGTCGCGACAGAATGCGTTGGATTAAAGGCGTGGGCATTTGCAAAAAAATATTAGACTACAAGAATTGTGATGTCATTTGTAACGTCAATATCATTCCGTTTAAAACTGAACTGCATCTTTAATTACGATAGTCGATAGTTGTAATTTCAAAATAATTATTATTGACATTATTATTGACTATCTTTCTTTAAAAATGAAAAATATTTTATTAATGTCTAAACAGCGTAATTGCCTCTCGCTAATCGTGTTGTGCATGCCCACGCAAACGTGTGATCAACAAAATAACTTCATTGGCAGCCAGAACGTGATAAATCAATGACTCAAATATTGTACATACACATAGAAATAAATAGATTTTTAAAGGAGATTAAATAATTTCTGTATTTTTTTCTTTTAAAAGAACAAACTTATTATACGAACTATTATTATATGAACTATTATACTAGTAAAGAGAGACTACTTATTTAAATAATGTTTTATGTATTAGAATACAGCACAAAAAATATTTTCTCGTTAATATTGTTCCGCTATAATTGAGATAATTATGTATATAATATTTTCTTGATATTCTCTGTTTCCACAACATGCGAAAGGAAATATTCTTCTCTAAATATATTATTTTCATAATTATTTATTTAAAGAAGAAATATTCTTTTTTAATTTATTGGAATATCACAGAGAAAAGCTAGAAATTTTTAAAAAGTTTTATTTGTTCTGTCTCTATCTATCTAAGGGTGCATCTTTAAAAGTATTTTTAAACTTATTCGGTTATAATCATTATTGTTTTTTGCTGAATTGATAGCTATTCCTGAAACTTTAAAGTTTTCTTTTTTCTTTGAATTAATATTTTAAAAAAATATGCCCTTATGATTTATTATTTGAAATGACTTTTATATCACGATAGTCAAGTTGTTTAGATGACTTGCTATTTTCACTCAAAAATATCAGAAACGAGATTTGATGGGTCCCTTTTAAATCAAGTTGGTCTTCTGCTTTCCTGAACCTGCTGGCAATTTGGAACTTAAGAGGGAGGAGCTAACCACCTGCGCTTGCTTCATCCCGGGGCAAGTAATTCTACCTGGCTTTATACCCCGCCGAGGAGCCCTCGAGAAATCGAACAAAGACTCCAGATGGAGGAACTCGCGCGTCCTATATTTAGCTTCCGTCTCTTAAATTCACATTCACGTGTAAACGCGTATGTTTGTTCACTTTACGTTCGATCTTTCTCTAGACATATTCCACTGAAGACAGCCATTCGTTGCCGATCCATATCTTTTCTTGAGAAATTTCTCAAGCCCAGCCCAACAAAGCGGCGCCCATATGACGTTGAAAGAACGAAAATTTTTATTTAGGGGACGTCCCCTTGAATATCTCCTTTCAGCTGATCTCAATGGAACATGTCACGAAGTAGCCAAAACGGTGAGAAACCGTTCTACTGGCACGAATGTCAAGCACAAGGATTACATCCTCAATTCAGGAAGATTATTCCTGAATGATCGAGAATTAGAGATATTCAAGAACATGCCAGGTACTGGAACGAATCCTATTTTTCGCTAAATCGCAATCCCCTTTAAAAAAAAATAAATATCGACAGCTCTTATGATTTACACATAGCTCAAACGGTCGTATGTTGCTGAGCACGGTAAACGAGGCATTGTGTAAGTCAACTCCATTGTCATCAAATGACAAGAAGCATCTCGAGTAACTGTTGCATAACGCGTTCGTCGCATGCGCTATAAATTCTTCAAGAAATTAACATAGCCGAGACTTTCTCCCAAATGCCCAGCGAGATAACATTGCTAGATTACTATAACATGCTAAGCTGAATAACATCGTTTGTTGCTTCAATTTCGATTGCGATTCTAACGTTGAGAGTTTCTCGGAAACCGGTCTACGTGTTTCTGACGCGCGAAAATAATTGTCCGATTTCAGCATTTGCAAGTCACAGCGTTTCTATCGCATACCGATGCATTTCTTATGTAGAAGAATACGCATCGTTGTCAACTATTCCTCGTGCTCTTTGCATTTGCATCTCGAAGCTAAAGTCCGCGCCAGAAAATTGTTTACGCGAAGAAACGACGCATTTCGCGCAACAACTCGCAACAAATCCCTACGGGAATGACTGCACGATCAATTTTTGTTGAATCAGATCAACTCCAGTAATGGAATGCGACGCATGAAACGAGTCTGCTTGATAAACATTATTATGAGAATAACGTAATACTGTTCTCTCCCTTCCTTCTCCGTTTATATTAACATTCTAAAAATTTCTACATTACCAAATATATTCCATTCTCAATAAATTCAATACATTCAATAATAAATTCTCATAAATTACCAAATCTCATGTTTATTGTAAAGAATTAATTTTAATACAGCAATTCCAAGTTTCATGTAGAAAAGAAATTTCTTAAAGAAATTTATAGAACTAAACACATGAAAGACATGAATTATTCTGCAAAAATTAATTGTTAATTTAACATAAGAATGAAATTTTGCAAAGCTGCTTCGGTAAAATCATATTACACTTACTTATCCTGTGCTCATCTGAAAATTTCCATTACTCCGCGACTCTCAGTTACATTTGTGATAACAGTGTTTCGCGCGGATTTTTCAGCCTCGACGTGCCTCACGAGCAAATAATATTGAGAACCACGATTGATAAAAACGCTTAATTAGAAAATCGATCTTCGCACCTAAGCCCGTGTCAACCCTCGATAAAGAATACGTGACTGATAAACATGTTCAATTAACTGAATATACGTAACGCGAGCTTGTCTGTAACAAAGAATAATCAAAGCAAAGATTTAAAACTTAAAACGTTTAAAAAAATCTATCGCAAGTTATTAAAAAAAATTGTGACTTTGATTAAATCTTAGATGAGGTATGCAATAACATTTTATTACAGCCGATCAGCTCTCAAGACAATAATCTCCCTTCACATCGGTTACAAAGTTGTTCGTCCCACGTTTACAGCCAAATAAGTTCGTAACCAGTGTAAACAGGTTTCCTCGTTATTTGTGTAACACTCAAAAGTCATAATGTATAAGTAACGTTATAATATTATAATCATATAATATTGTAATATTATTATATTATAATGAAATAATTGCTAATGAAATAATTGATAATGCTGCTAATCCACATTTTGTTTTGTGCAAATGAATAGCTAATACATAATATAAATACAGTTATTTAACAATTAGTCTCAGTGGTAAAGCATAAAAATATAATAATAAAACATGTCGCAAAAAGACGAGATTTTTTTTATCTAATGACGTATTATTATCTACTTCTCATGCAAAGTACTTCCTTGTGTCTTTGGTCCCGCTAATATTGCGCAATTATGTGAAATATTGTATGTGATGATTATTCGCAAGATATTTTTTTTCGTCTTTTTCCCGATTTATTTTCCTGCAGCTATCTAATAATCCAGAAAAGTGTCAAGTTATTTTCTACATTTCTATTGTTATTTTTAGAAAAAAAT